TTGTTATCATTTGAAATGATAATTTCTAGAAAGATTTTATTTTTGTAAATGAAAGTACACAACACATGTACTTGAATTAGGCCTTAGTGCAGGCCTACATGAATGTGCTTTCTTTCATTGTTCAGAGATGGTGAAGAAAATATATAAGGTCAAAATTGACTGTTTCCTTCACATTGGTATGATCCAAGCTTAAGTAATTAATGCTACATTTGTACATGAAAGTATCAACTCGATATAATAAACAGAAAAATAGTTAGAATTAAGATGCAACCAGTACTTAACTTATCTTTAGAACAAGATACCCTACATGTAGCCTTGCCCTTTGAATACTTTTAACCTGAGACGATGATTTAGGCATCACCCCAGAATATATAAGTCTACCTTAAATTAAATGCATTCGATTTTTGTACATACCGGTAGTACCAAAGAACAACCACTTTCTGTGGAATCTGCTCTATTGTTAATTAATTATACATTGTATTTCCCTCCTTGAAATTCAGTACTTTCCTTTCCTAGCTTGCCAAATGTCAAATTGCTGAATTTGTAAGGTTTTGAGCACACGTGTGAGTTCTCACTTTATGTTAATCATGTGATCGTTTACTGTGGCGTAACTTGCATTTTGCCTGTTTAGATCCAGAAGAGGGTTACAAGCAAGAATTCAATGTAAAGTATACATGTATGTTAAAGAGAAGGTTGAGTTCTGGGAAGAGGTGAAAAATAATTTGTGAGCGTTATCATTCTTATTATGCAAGGGTGGAAGAACATCAGATTAAACATGTTCCCTGAAAAGTATGGCTCTTCAAATGCCTTCATATTCTAAATATGACATGAAACATCGTAAAAATCCGGGGTAGGTTTTTTTCGCCATGTGCTCGTGTAGTCCTATATACATCATTCTGTGTACAGTGCTTGTAACTTTGCCAAGATTTGGCCAAATTTCTTATCATTTTGATAATTCCAGAACCTTGCAATACACACGAATACTTATATACTAGATGATCAACCTTTTCTGATAGATTTCACACCGTTTCTTTCACAATGCAATCACATGACCAGAACTCAACTTTATCTTAAAGTTCACTGAAGCCTTAATGCTTGGTAGATGGTGTTGTGACTACGGTAGGTCCGCTGTGATGAAAGAGCATTGTCTTTACAGATGCAGGGTGAGGGCTCAAAGATCCAATCTTTGTGGAGCAGGTGAATTTAAAGCCCCACTGCACTACTTATAGCTACTTGGTCCTCTATATAACAGTTAATAGGGACTTTTAGATTTGCACGTCAACATAGTGGACTGCTACTGTACATATGAAGTCCTTATAAGGCAATACCTAATCGGTGACCGTTGGTCCCCCATGATCCCCCCTTTGTAATGTTAATTGAGAACTGATTTGATGAGATAACCAACTGTCAGTGACCATGCATGGAGGTCTAATCCCTCCTGGCCTAACTCGTGCAGATGGGCTTTCAGAATTTGAAAGATCATGTAATGTTTGCCTAGATCCGAAGGTGCTTTTAGTTCATTACCATCTAGACATGATGTTAAAATAGAGTGGGTTACTAGCCAAAATATATTGCTTGAGGGTTTACCATAACATTCTTCAATGAGTGAACAAATGGGGATGTCAAATTGTCAATCCACCCCCCCCCCCCTTTCCTCTATATCTCACATCCTTGCCATGATCAGAACATTTGTTTTATATTCATGTGAAAATAGATACATTTATCAAATGGTGGACTAGAAAGATGACTTTTCATATTGAAATGTTATAAAATTGTGTTCATGTGTTAAAGACTTTTTTTTTTCTTTGGAGAGGATTAAACTTTGTTTAAATATTTTTTGAAATATGGCTACTACTTCTAAGTTCAATGCAAATTGCAAGTTCTTTTGTCTCTATGGCAGTTGGCATTTGTGTTATATTATATATATTTTGAAAATTGAATATTATACTGCTATTCATATGTTTCATCTATACATAAACCCACAAATCATCTTGTGATAAAATAAAAGTTCAAAGTATTCATCAGAAGAATTAGCACTAGAGGCATTATATTACCGGTATCTGGTGAGTATGAGTTCAGTGACGCCCTATTACAAACATTATGGCTTGTCCTACTTACCAACATGTAATGTATGCAATTCACATTTTGACTATTGAAATAAGAATACCGGTAGGTGAATGAAATAATTTGTAACTAGGCACTTAACAAATAAATTTGCATTTAATTTAGTTATATTACAAAACTGCCCAACTGCCTTTCATTTTATGCTATTCTCGCTGTCTTTAACATAATCAAAAATCGATATTATGCAAAGAAGGTTATTGATAATTTGATACTACAATGTACTTGAACAGTGGAGGTTTAAATTGATGTTAAAGCCCCTCTGCACTACTTATATAGCACTTGCGTCCTCTATATAGCAAACATGCCTAATCGGTGACCATTGGTCCCCCATGGTCCCCTTTTTCTTATGTTAAATGAAAGCTGATTTGATGAGATAATCACCTGTTGGTGACCATGCAGGGAGATCTGATCCCTCCAGGCCAAACTAGTGCAAGTAGGCTTTAACTGAAATCGTTGTTATCTGAACAACCCATGGGCGGCAGAGCGTCTTTCAAAGTGGGGGGGGGGCACCAACAATAAAGGGAAACCTCAAAGTGAAAATATATCATTTTTAAACGTTGGTATATCAGGCCCGTACAAACTAGTACAAACTGTATAACGAATCGCCTTCTTTCTCTAATAACTTAAAGGAAACATCAAACCTTCCGCGTTAATTCGCTGGGGTAGGGGGTGGGGAACTGAATTCAGATAATTAGTATTAAAGCCCGTCTACACTAGTTTGGCCAGGTGGATTACACCACCCCGCAAGGTCACTCAGTGGCGGATCAAGGGGGTGGGGGCCGCCCTTGAGAAAAAATCGTGTAAAAACACGTAATTTTTACCTTTTTTTTGGGGGGGGGTGCAAATTTTTAAATTTTCGACGACCAAAAAAAAAATGTGCTCACTACCCCCCCCCCCCCCCCCCCCCCCCCCTAACTGGGCGACTTTTCTGCCAGCGCGATTTTCAAATTTTCGGGAGCAAAAAAAAAAAAAGTTGGGCCCCCTCCCCTAAGAAATCCTGGATCCGCGCCTGAGGTCACTGAACAGAAAGAAAAGGGGGATCATGGGGGACCAACAGGAACCGATTATGCATTTTTTGCTATACAGAGGGCGCAAGTAGCTACAACGAATTAAACGCCTTCTGTCTCTATAATGTAAGGAAACGTCAAAGCTTCCGCGCTTTGCGCGAGAGGGGGACTCCCCCCTCCTTCACCCACCACCTAGGGAGCGCGCTCTTTAAGAGATTCGAATGCTTCGTGTGCTCACTACCCCCCCCCCCCCCCCCTACGATACTGACTAAGATGGAATAAATTGTATATTTACGTCGTCCAGGAAAATTACCTACTATAGGAAAATATTTTAGCCTTCGGCCCCGGGTTTATAATGTTAAATTTGTAGACATTTGGGACAATTGTCAGTAATTGGTGGCTAGTTTTGTCGTTAATCGATGGCCTCTACCCCCCCCCCCCCCCCCCCCCACTGAAAAAGGTCTAGCGACGCCCCTGCTCGCAATGTCCCACTAGCAATCCTGGCTCAAAGTTGGCAAACCTAGAACCCCCCCCCCCCCCTCAAAAAAAGCTTGTTCGGGCTTGTATATACTCGTTATCACATTATCAGGGATGATTTAAATGATTAATTCTCTCTTTAAATGGTCCAAAATACTACTAATGCATCATACTTTGCAGTTGGATGTGATGGTATCAATATTTATATGCGGGCGACCAAAATATTAAGATTCGTAATACCCGATCCTGATGGAGTTTTAAACCCAATCTAATCATGAAAGCCAGTCAAAAGAGCATTAATAAGAAACATAATGCTATCCACTATAAATGTGAAAGAGCCGGCTTTTGAAATTAAAGAAAAAATTGCTCTTAGCCGCTTTAGATTAGAGGCACATTTCACGGTGAAAGGAAAAGGGGGCACATATCTAAAGGAAAAGATCACATGTCAAAGTAAAAACTGGAATTATCAGAGGTGAAAAGGGGTTATTTTCTCGCACCTGATTGGGGCACTCGCCAGAGATGAAAAAAAAAGCACTAATGAGAACGGCAAAGGGGCACTTATAACGAAGGATTTTGGAAGTTTTCAGAAGGACAGTGGCCCTAATTAGAAAGGATAAGGGGCACTTGTTACAGAATTAAAGAGGACATCTCTCAAAATTAAATCAGGACACTCATCGGAGATGAAAGAAGTGATTATAAGAACTGAATCAGAGGGCATATAAAAGAAAATAGGCCAGTGTTAAAATATAAGGGACATCTATAAGATTTGAAAAGAGGCAATTATCAGATATGGAAACAGGCTCGGTAAGGGGCACTTATGAGATTTAGTCAGAAGGGGCGTTTATTTAAAAAAAAATAAAAAACGGGTATTTTTCAGAAGGAAAAGGGCACTTATCAAAAAAGAAAAGGGGGCAATTATCAGAGGTGAGATTTAGCACTCATTTCAAAAGAAAAAGGCACTTGTTAAATTAAAATGGGTACCTCTCTGATTTGGATAGGGGCAGTTGTCAACAAAGGGGCACTTATATCAAACAGGGGTACGTAATACAAGGCACTCACAGGAATGTAGAAAGGGTGCCTATAGAAATAAAAAAAAAAGGGGCTCTTATACTCAGATTCTGAGTTAAAAGGGGGCATTTTAGGGGTACTTGTAAAAGTTGGGACTGTACCCCCGGATCCACCGCCTAGCTGAACAACTGACTCGTCCAAACTTGATAATTTAGGCCATGTAAGTTTTGTTCTTCTTTTCTTTCTTCTTTTTTGACGAGCTAAGCCACAGTATGTCCTCCTACGGAGGACATGTATGATCGAATCTCTTTGAGCTAAGCGCTAGCTAGCGCCCTCCGCGCTGGGATTGCTACATGTAATAACAAATCCCCGAAAACGGAAAAGCCTTGTTTAGCCTTTAGGAAGTTCGGAGGAAGTTGCGGTAAGCCACTGTTTCATATTAATTATTATTTCAATTTCAAACATTAGACCTGCTTTGCATGTTTTTAATGAGAGTGATAAACTAGAAGAAAGTTAAACAGCGTTTTACTTCAGTTAGCTAGGCCAGGTCGCGTCGTCCGCTGACGCCACTCCAGCTCGAACGAATGGTCGAATCTTCGCTACGCCAACGCTCCCCCGTGCATGGGTAACTTGTAGCCTGACCAAGGCCAAGAGTGCCTGCAGGTCAGGGGAGCAAGGCCAAGGCACACATAGGAGCATCACTATCCTGGCTGTGTAGTAAAAGCTGTGCTATTGATTCTTAACATTTTAAACACTACTGTACAAAACTTAACTGATTTCACTAAAAACCGGTACTTTAGTGACAAATAGCAGTAGATCTAAAATACAATTTTTTCAACTTAACGATGTTAGAAAGAAAAATTTAAAAATTCAAATTGTAAGTCTAGATCTACTGCATCATTGTGTGCATTGATGTATAATGAGTGTATTGACTATTCATGTGTGCAAATGCTGCCTATTAAAATGTAGTGTAGTGCTAGAGGTCAATACACATTAGCATTGACTCTCTTAGAACGAATTTTTCTGTCTCTTTTGTTTGTTAGCCTCTGATTTGGATAGGGTCGGCTCTCTCTTATTTGGGTAGGGGATCGGCTCTCTCTCTTATTTGGGTAGGGAGACGGCCCTCTCTTTAGAGAGAGCCAACCCTACCCAAATCAGAGGCTAACGAACAAAGAGACAGAAAAATTCGGTCTATGACTCTCTATGCTTTGCTGGAGTACCTAACTATACATGTACATCTTCATGTTCTAATGGCTAGCTTTTCTCTTTTTTCTTGTGCAGATCATATAGCCATCTGAGCAACCAAGGTCAGAAGATGAACTGATTTGATGTAAAGATGGCCAACTCATTTTCTATTCTCCTATCGTACATCGATAACCTCCTGTGGTTATGCACACAACTATTTTACGGAATCTTGCTCATCATAGACTTTAATTATAAGCTTGTGACAACTCTTTATAGGGGCTTTGTCCAACTATGGGGGCTGTCAGTACAAGTAGCGATAACTATTGGGAATGCATTTGTGTCCAGCATCGAGTTCCTTGCAGAGTTGCCTGTGAAGAGTTTTCATCTGGGAAATTATCTGCTAGAACTTGTTCGGAACCTGGTGAGCAATGCTAGCCAGGCATTTACGTCCTGGTTTTGGGTGACACTAGCAAACGGTTTGGAGATGTTGACAGCCATCTTCAAGAATCTAGGACTGGCATTCATCAGTGTTTGGACTAAATTGTTTGATTTACTTGTCTTCCACTCTACCCAGCTTGTGGATGTCATCACCTCACAACTTGAAACCACCTACAACGATGTAAACAAAGCCAAAGCAAACACTGTACATGTCCTGCACAGTGTTGGAAGTGAGATGCAGGGATCTGTGCTGGGTGTTTGTAACGTAATCTTTGAGTACTTCATCACTGTAGTGACCTACCCCATTGCCATCTTTAACGCATGCACCAAGAGTATTCTTGAAGGATTGTACTTCTGTGTGAGATTTTTTAAGGCTATAGTAGATTCTTCTGTGAGGATTTTTGAAGATCTGATTGAAATTGTTTACTCCAGCATCAGCAGTATCGCAAATGGTCTTTATTATATTATGAACACGTTGACTGATATTGCCACATTTTGTATCACAGTGATAGACTGCATCAGCCAAACGCTCAGTGCATTTTTTTATAGTGCGGCAGAAAGTTATTTGTCAATAAGTTCGTTCATGGTAAAGAATTGGGGTGCCCTCTTAGCTCTTGCTCTCTGTGTCACCCTTGTGTGGGTCACCATCAACATGACTAGGCAGCACGACAGAAATATCTTCCAAGATCTCATTCGATTTGTAAAAAGCTTCACACATTATCTACCCCATGCGATTGAAAGGGAGCCGGTGAGACCTGAAGGCCACCTTCACCATGACATTCGCCCTCAAGGTCAGCAAAGAGTGGAACTTCAAGATCGGAATGAAGAGAATGGAAACACTGGTGCTGGCCAGGATTTGCCAGTTGGTTTAGTAGGAGAAGGGGACCAGCCTGGTCCTAGTAGGCCCATACACACTCTGCACTCACCATATTTGTTACGATCACGACCTTTCACCCCATCAGGTGAGCCCTCTGGAGGAAACAACCCAATAGAAAGCACCATGAGTGACCTTAAACACAGATTAAGCAAGGAACAAGAAAGAAAGACATGCGTGGTGTGTCTGGATGCGGTAAAGGATACGCTCTTCTTGCCCTGCCGACACCTTTGTGTCTGTCTACCCTGCGCTGACAAGATAGTAAGCAATGCAGACATACTATCACGGAGCTGCCCTCTGTGTAGGACTAGGATTGGATCAATTGTTGAGGTTTACAGTTAAAGAAAATAACATTTTGCAGGGTCATTCAAAATGAGCTTCCTTGCTTGCACGTTTATTAACTTTATTTGTTTTTCATCATTTGAAATGATAATTTCTACTTTTCTAGCCAGATTTTATTTTTGTAAATGAAAGTACACAACACATGTACTTGAATTAGGCCTTAGTGCAGGCCTGCATGAATGTGTTTTCTTTCATTGTTCAGAGATGGTGACGAAAATATATTATGTATGTAGGACAAGTGTTTGGTCTATTGCTGTCGTATCCTATACCTGTACATTTACATTGCCAATAATAATGGAAACTGACCAAATTACCCATTTCTTTCTTATTGATCTGATCAAAGCTTAAATATTGCCATCTACTTAAAAAAAAATACCAGTAGTTAGAATTCAGATGCAGCCATTAACGTATAGAAGAAAATACCCTAGGTTTGCCCTTTGAATGCTTAAAATCTAAAACAATGATTTAGGCATCATCCCATCTAAATTAAATGTATATGATTTTGTACTTCAAACAGATTGACTGCATGTACACCTTCATGTACATGTATATTTACATCAAAGAACAACTCTTTCTGTAGAATCTGCTCTTTTGTTAATTGTATTTCCCTTCTTTTACTTCAGTACTTTCCTTTCCAAGCTTGCCAAATGCTAAATTGCTGAATGTAGAAAGTTTGAGCATGTGAAATCTCATTTGTCACTTTATGATAATCTGTTGATATTGCATAACTTCGATTTTACCTGTTGAGAGCCAAAAGAGGGTTACATGCCAGATTTCTAATGTATAACAAGTAAATGTACTAGTATGTGAGTTCAAAGCCTTCTAATGCTGCGCAGAAGGTTTTCTGTCTAGGTCTGCTATGATCAAAGATCACTTTACCGATGCTGGGTGATTCTGGCTGTTTTCTGACTTACATGTATACTTTCTGAATAATCTTGTATCTAAAGATTCTATCTTCTTGTACATGTACATGCAAATTACATGGTTGGTGCATGCTGTTTTCTTCTGTATTCTAGCCTATAGGCAAGGTATTCATTTTGTGACACATTTCAGATTACCAGTATCTTAAAGCGGAATACATGTACATGTACATGTAGATTGTGAACTTGCAGGTTATTGGTACTACGTGTAGTAGGTAGAGGTATTTGTTTTAAGCTCATCTGTATGACAATAAAAAATGTAATGGTGAAATTGCCAGTGGTATTATATGCATGTAACTGAAACTGAAAGAAATATTTAAGCTGAAAAGAAAAATAATTCACAGTACTCATGATTTCCATTCCTATTTCAATTTGAGTTTGTATTTTGTAATACATGTACTCATGAAATTCATTTACATGTGTGATATTTTATTTGGGTTGTATTTCATTTACATGTGTGATATTTTATTTGGGTTGTATTTCATCATTCTTGAATACCCATTTATTCCATTAGAGAGGTATAAAGAAAAGTTTGTAAAATACCAATACCAACTGCTGTATTTTAAGAATTTAAAAAAGAAATGTAATGTGTGCCTAGATCCGGGGGTGCTTGTAATTCATAAGCATTAAAGGGATTTGGTAACTTTGTCTCAGATTCAGAAACAAAATTCCGGATTTAGCTCATGATGCAATGATAATTATAAACCTTTAGGTCAGTCAGGAACCCCATGACCTTTACAAGCCGATCGCCTGTCTGATTATCAAGATATTTATGATTGGAATTACAAATTTTGAAAACCGTTTGCCTGACGGTTTTCATAACACTACAGTCTATTGGGGAAAACGAGTATGGTAAAACCGGTCACTCAATGATTTTTACTTTTTTGAGGCACTTCTTGATCATTTAGGGCTTCAATATTACACCATATCACAGACACTGATAACAGGTAGGGCCGTGTATCTCAGATTTAACATTGTTAAACGATCCCTTTAAGACATGATGTTGAAATACAGTGGGTTACTAGCCAAAATCTATTTGTTGAGGAGTTACATGTACCATAACATTGTTAAATGAGTGAAAAAAATAGGGGTGTCAATCCACTCTCCCCCCCCCCCCCTTTTTTTCTCTATAACTCACATCCTTGCCATGATCAGAACATTTGTTTTATATTCATATGAAAATTGATAACATATAGAAAATGGTGGAGGAGAAAGATGACTTTTTATATTATGTTACAAAATTGTTTTGTATGCGTTATTTTTTTTCTTCTTTTGAGAGGGTTAAACTAATTTTTAAATGTTTTTTTATATGGCTTCTTGTGAGTTGAATGTAAAAGGGCACATTCTTTTGTCTATTTGGCATTTGTGTTATTGAATATATATATGTTATACTGCTATTCATTGGAAATTTTTAACTACATGGACTCACAAAGCATTTTTTTAAATTTAAATAAAGCGCTGCTATTCAAATATTTTTCAAATTAGTACTAGAGGCATAATGTTTTCTAGTGGATGTAAGTTCTTTGTGTCACTCAGTAGTCTTTACTATGTTTTATTGCAGTGGTATGCGGGCAAAGGTAAAATGTAACTAGGTATAAGTTAGCTACCTAAACTAAAACATTGAAATACTGCTGACAAATATCACTATGGGGCAATTCCACGGTAACGGAAGGACACTCAGACAAGATTTTTGAACTTCAGGTTCATACTAAAAGAACTGTTTTATTAGTATGTATTAAACTATGGGGAACAAAATGTGTTTCAGTCAAGTGGAAAGCTTCATCAACTTCACAGAGTTTGGATAAAAACTAATTAACTGGAAAAACCATGTCCATTTTTATGTCCTTCCATTACCGAGATAATTAATATGCACATTCTTAAACTACTTAACTATAATGACAATTTTTTGGGGGAGAATTAAAGGCACTTATATAGGTATTATATCTGTACTGTTTCACATCTTATACTAATAAAACAGTTCTTTTAGTATGAACCTGAAGTTCAAAAATCTTGTCTGAGTGTTCTTCCGTTACCGTGGAATTGCCCCATATTATACTCTGTGATGAAATTCAAGTTTTTAAGAAAAATATTTGTTCCCAAATTGTTTGAAGTCTGTCAAAATCAAGTTACGTTGCTCATCAAGAGATATACAAATAATTGAGCTGTCCATGTAAATTCTTCTAGCAGTTCAATGACTTCATTTATTATCCTTCAAATTTAATGTTAGAATGAATCGTTAAATAGAAAATGAAGCCTGAATGGAAATGGGTTATTGTCTGATTGGACAAAGCATCTTGAAGCAATGCAGTATTGTAATGTGCAATGTAACTACTAACTATAGCAGCTTTGTAAGTAAGAAAAACAGAACTGTTTTTTCATCGTAAGAATTTATCGAAGCAACAGTTCTTCTTAAAGTCAGTTTATTTAAATAAATATGTTACTTGGGTACTGGCCTTACCTTCATTTTAATCAATTTTTTTAAATGTTATAAAGTAGGATTCACAATCGTATCAAATACATAATACGTTTTGGATATGTTGTACATTATTTGATCAATAATAATGTATAGTATTATTATTTTATAGAAATAATAGTAAGTGGTAAAATTCGCTGTCATTACTCTTTGTGAGCGTTCTTTGAAATATTAAATCTGGTCGAATTTTCAGTAAAACTGTGGTACAAAACGTGTGATATAAAATTATAATGATGTCCTGTGTGACTCTGCTGTCTGATGCAGTATATCATCAGTATGAAAATGGCTACACCCAATCATTAGCATATCCATTTTATAAACAAACATCAGTATAATTTTTTTTCTTTTAATTTCGTTACTGTGTATATAGCAAGTTTAAGTCGAATTAATCATGCTTGCAAATTGGGATATTGAGTTAGATGGAAAGAAATGTGATGCAGAAGTGAATGGAATGTGAGCAGGAATATTCCCAAAGTGATGAAGAGAGATAAAGTGGAAGTCTGGGGAAATGAAGGAAGAAAGTGAACTGATATATTGTATGTTTAGAGCCTGAAGACGAAGGGCATTGACTCGTATCACAGAGACACAGACTCCTGTCTTTGAAGAGATAATATGCAAGAAGTTAAAAATATCAATCAAAACAACATGATGTAAGATATAAAGAGAAAATGTGCGAAGAATTTGGAAACTACTCTTGATATCTATTCAGCATTGTTGGTCAATGAAAATGAGAGTGAACAATGGCTATTGATATTTCCGTTGTGCGTATATCGAGAATGAGCTAGATGGAGAGAAACGTGACCTTCTTCTTCTTATCGAGTCACTACCTGAAAGTGAGGAAGTGAGAACGTTTGGAAAGATGGTGGGAGACTCGATGGGAGAATAAAATAAAAGATTCTTTTTTAATTTAATTCATTTTATTTCATTCGTCATATAAAAACATACATGATTATAACATTGATATTTACAGATAGGTAAAGGTAAAGAACGTACAAATCAAATAACATAACAAAAGATAAACATAAAATACAAATTATATACGAATGAGGAACCAGCAAGAAAGAACAATTAAGTCTTGTGTGGTGCTGGTCCCTTGCAACATAATACAGAATTTAAACCTACAACACTTAACACCTTACACCTAACAACTAACATCTAACACCTGATTGCATATATATATATATATACATATAAAAACTAATAAAATTCTATTCACCAAAATGTAATTTTAGATCTAGCTGAACCAGAGGAAATGAATGCAGAGAATATGTTGGGAACATCTCTTGCTGTCCTTTCCACACCTTTTTGAGAAATATCTTCAACAATGAAATAGTAAATCTGAACGATTGGTTGATCAAAATACAAAAACAACCCCCCCCCCCCCTTGGATAGTTGTCCGGGGACCGGGGGTAGTTGTCCTAGAGGGTGGTTGTCGTAGGGGGTAGTTGTCCGGGGGTAGGTGCCCTAGGCCTAGGGGATATAGATAGTCGTCCTAGGGGTGGTTATCCGGGGCCGTCCAGGGCAGGGGTAACCCCCTTAACTTTCGTATTGCCAAAGCGAAGATGCGCGCGCACGTACATAATAACAAAAATGAAAATGGGGGCCTCTCAATCGCGACTCGATCCTCGAATCAACGACAGCAGCACGAATTATTGGCCAGAATTAGAGCTAGAGAAGCAAATATCAGTTTTTACTTACGATGAAAATAAACCAGAAGTGAAGGTATGTCTATTTATCCAACAATTTCGTGTTGTCATTGTGTACTTAGTGTTATAATATACGGAGGAAATAATTGTCAACGGCGGTGATCTGCTTCGTCTTTAGTCCCGAGAATGCTTTTTGGTGTCGTGTTCTGCCATGTTTTTGTTTTGTTTAGACTCTAGTCTAACTTTTTAGTGCTTTTGATTCTCAACATTTCAAACACCACTGTACAAAACTCAACTGATTTCACTAAAAATCGGTACTTTAGTGACAATTGATGACACCTAAAATAGCAGTAAAATACATTTTTTTCAACTTACTGATCTTAAAAAGAATAATTAAAAAATTCAAATTGTAACTGTCATTAATAGTGTCAAACTTTGCTTATTACAGCCGCATCGACATGATTGTGTACAGTCTATGCAATATTGTGTGGTGTGTATATTTGTGTATAGGTCTAATAATACCTTCCTTACAGCAAGCATGCAGTGCTAAAGGTCATAATACGCATTAGCATTGACTCTCTATGCTTTGCTGGAGTGTGTAGACCTACATGTATGATGTAGGGGGCCGTTTCATGAAACCAACTCCATGACAGTCGTATCTTTGTCGGCGACCTACGGAGATGTCATGAAGTGGATAAACCGTTTCACAAAGCCATGACAGACATGATATCGATATATCGCGATACTAGAAGCTCAAGAACATAGTCTTTGTCACGATCCATTTGATGTATCATGTATCAAAATGTATTCACTGCAATACAGAAGGATAAGAGGCGACATGATTGAGGTCTACAAGCTGATGAACGGCCTCGTAAACTCCGATCCTGCAGCCTTCTTCACATCTGCACCTCATGAAGCTACAAGGGACACCATCATCATCATCATCATCATCGGTATACGGGAGTGAGGTAGTCCTGTAGGTCTCCCGGTCGTCTTCCAGGATATAAGACTTAAGACGTAATGCGTGGATGTCAGGTTATATGAAATTGTTTAACAAGCCAGTGTTTATCTAGACCAGTTTTAAAGATACCTATGTTGCGAGCAGTGACTAGAGGTTCTGGCAGTTTATTCCATAGCTCGATGACACGTTTACTGAAAAAACAGCCTTTGACATTTAGCTTGCGATGAGTGTTAAACAGTTTCAATGGATGTCCACGAGTGGATTGGTATTCTGGTCTCTTGAAGAAATGTTCTGGACTGAGTCTGTCGATGCCATGAAGAATCTTGTAAACCTGGATCACACCACCAGAAGCTGTATTTAAGCAAAGGAGCAACTCAGCCCTAAGAAGAAACAGTTTCAGTCAGAGAGTAGTAGAATCCTGGAATAGTCTTCCTACATCTGTCATCTCCTCATCCTCAATCACTTCTTCAAGATTAGATTGGACAAGCACTGGTCCTCTCAGCACCAAATGCTTCCATAAAATTTATATGTGCGTCCACCCGCCATGCTAGCAAAAATATTTCAGGTTCATTTTTGAACGAAGCAACACTCAATGAAACGACCGGAAGTTTCAACAGGATCACCTCACACTTCCGGATACTGATGCTGATGCTGATAACCCGAAACAAGTTTTGGGGCTAAAATTGTTCAAAAAGAAATATATACATATAAACTCTCCTAAAATAAATAACAAATAGTCTAGTGTCATTATCAAATGTAGATCATCAAACTATTTGCATATTTCTGTAAAGATTCTTAAATTGAGGAAAAACCAGTTACGTGACAGTGTCGAGATGTCGTTGATCTTGTAGTTATGACGGTTTCGAGAAACGGCCCCCCTGCCTCACAGCAAGTATGCAGTGCTATAGGTCAATACGCATTAGCATTGACTCTCTATGCTTTGCTGGAGTGGGTCTAGTCTAGGTCTATGTGCATTACTATCCTGGCTGTGTATTAAAAGCTGTGCTATTGATTCTCAACTTTTCAAACACCACTAGTCTGTACAAAACTCAACTGATTTCACTAAAAATCGGTACTTTAGTGACGATTGATGACACCTAAATAAATAGCAGTAAAATACAATTTGTTCAACTTTCCGATGTTAGAAAGAATAATTTAAAAATTCAAATTGTGAGTCCACTGTGGCACTGTCAACAAACTTTCTGATCAGCCGCATCAGCATGATTGTTGCATCTGTGTGTTATGAGTGTATTGACTAGACTATTCATGTATTCAAATGCTGCCTATTATATTAACACGTAGTGCAGTGCTAGAGGTCAATATGCATTAGCATTGACTCTATGCTATGCTGGAGTGGTATTTACATGTAATTGCTTTGTTTTCCTATGTTTTTAAAACAAAAGCTGTGATCTCAAATGTGACCGAAAGATTCCAGATCTATATCATTACAACAATCGCCAAAAAATGTATGAAAATACATGAAAACCGCTAATCGGGCAGTCATTTTTGCATGACATTTCACATTTCTCATCCAAACAAACATATTTATCATCCATAGATTTCGCTGAAATTTCACCAAAAGCAAACTCACATGTAAACGATCAATTTATATACTTTTTTCTCAATTTCATTGTGGGATCATGGTACAGAATGGCACTAAACATGGCTCTTGTGAGACAGTGCAGCAAAACAAACTGCCCAAAACATAAATCATAGAAGGTTTAGTATGAAATGAAAGATAACAATGTCATTATTATTATTAAAAAGATTATTATTATTATTATTCTTCTCATCCAATAGAAATCTACTCCAGCAAAGCATAGAGAGTGTGAAATGTTCGTCCGGTGTGGGAAGGGGTGATTACAAATGCATTTTAGGGTCTTGTTTACCTTATTTAGGGGTATGGGTGCCGATTAAGGCTAGCTGATATCAAATATCAATATCATATTTCATGTTATCACCTAGCCCTTGACCGTGACTCTGTTACATTGCCTCGGGTTCTGAAACAAACTTAGATCATGCTGCAAACATAATTATAAACCTTTAGGTCAGTCAGGAATCCCATGACTTTTACAAGCCGATCGCCTGTCTGATTATCAAGATATTTATGAGTGGAAATTATTATTATATATTATTTTTATAACACTACAGTCCATCGGAGAAAATGAGTATGGTTAAAAACCGGCCACTCAAAGAATTTTACTTTTTTGAGGCACTTTATGATCATTTTGAAGTGCAATTTTTTTAGGGCTTCAATATTACACCATATCACAAACACTAATAACACGTAGGGCCATGCATCTCAGATTTGACATTGTTAAACGATACCTTTAAGGCTACTCATAGCAGCATTTAGTATGCTATGTGTGTAGGAAAAAAAATTAAGAATAAGACTATCTCTTGATTCCCAGATTTTCAAGCACCGTTGTACAATTCTGGTGATAGTCCATTTGTGTTTGAGGGTTATGAGGATCAAAATATAATGATTTTTTTAATTACACACAAAGTAATATTACACGATATAAAATGAGAACATTTATCTTCAAGAGATTGTTATTAGGTGAATCTGTTGGGAGAGAAAACAAATTAGCATTAAATTTTACAATTGATCATTATTTTTAATTCAATAGGTCTTGGTCAGAGGGGAGACTGTCTCTGCAGACCTGTTGTTGAAGAAAGTTGGAAAAGCGCTTGGTAAGTATTAACTTTCACATGAAGTATGACTATGAGATTTGTTGGAGTAGAAGTTTATAGGTGGAGGCATTATAACTCAGTAGGTAGAGTGGAGATTTTGGAAACAGGTATGAACAGACTACAGCTCGAGTGAAGTTGAGTCGTGTTTGCTAGTTCCTTCGGGTAAGGCATAGCCTGTTCCTGTAATAGGGCGTTAGAGCTGCTCTGTAATTGAAATTCAGCATGTTCCCATAGCTTATCCAGCCTATTATCAAACTGAGAACCATTATCAGCCTCCACAGCTTGGTTTAAAAGGCTGTTCCACATACTAACTATTCTCATAGAGAAGAAATTACTACAAATACTTTGTCTACTTCTTTAATTGTTCTTGATAAAAACTAAATAGCATTGAATTCCTTTTTGTTAATTCCAGATTGTTTTTAAATTCTCGATAGCATACACCTGTAGAACTAAGAAGCATGAACTCATAGAAGTACCGGTACTGTTCTATTAAGCTTTGTGACTGTCCCACTAAGTAATTTATTTGTGCTATGCAAGTGTTATTTTTCCTTCAAAGCATGTTCATTTTCAATTAATTTTCTTTCTGCAACAGGAATGCGAAATTCCAAGTTGATTTTGCAATACGATATGATGTTCATTTTCAGATATGAAGTCGATTGGTCTGAAGCACTTTGGGATTTTTGAAGGACTGCACACACCCATCGGCAAATTCAAATGTTCAGACAGGGTCAAGACAAATTCAAAAGGTAGGAGGTCATTGACATTGTGTCAATATAGTATTCAGGCACAGCCTATATGTTGACACTTAAAGGGGAAGATCACCCTGATATTAAAGGTGCTATGTCCCATTTGCAGGCCAAAATGATGAAAAGGTTAAATTCCAACGGCATTTGAAAGACAATACTTATTTAGAACTTCCCTCAAAATGAAAGGACTTGAAAATGGCTTTTATTCAGAAAATAACGACCATTAGTTGTTAAAACGACTCAGTCTCTGTCTTAGCAGTAACGGTTATAGTAAAGGGACTGTATTCTGGAAACTATGCTATGTGTACCTTTTATCTCAGGGAAAAACAATATCACAACTCAGATTAAGCGGATTCAGCACTTATCATTGGTACTTGCACTTGCGCAGATGTCTGTTTAAACTTAAGGGTCATTCCATGTCAAATCACCCAAAAAATCTGAAAATCTTAACCCGACCATTTTTGATTTTGATGAAACTTAGTGTACTTGTTGATTGTAATCTCACAGCACCAAATTCCAAATTTTAGGTCAATTGGGTGAGGGGTTTGGGAGATACGGCCAACCGAATTTTGAGATTTTTGCAAAAATGGGGGTGGCGGGCCTACCTTTGAACCCTTGTATCTCGGGACCTAATGGGTCAATCTTCACAAAATTTGTATTGTTGGAAAGGGTATTCAATAAGGATTCCAAATCTGCCACCATTTTGAAAATTTGTACATGTTGGGGTACTTTGACCTCTTGATCTAAGATTTGACCTTGAAATTGACCTTGTGGATCACATGACCTTGACAATATTTTTCATGAAATGTAATTTCTGACATGTTCACTAAAACATATACAAGTTTCAGAGATATAATATTTTTGTTTAGGAGCAATAAGGATTGAAAGTTTCCATAATTACAGATATTCACAATAAACCCTATTGTAATGTATACAATACATGCAATATGCACAGTACAACATACATCTTCCACATGCTTTTTTTGTTCTAGTCATATCCTTTCTAAGTGTCAGCAGTACTTGAATAGAAATAAAATGACAAGTTCATATACATGTAGGCCTAAAGGGTTAACAGGATGTAATATGGCTTTAGGCCTCTGAGTCGGTTCTAGGATAATTACCCCCCTGGAAAATTAACCCCCAGGAAATGTTCCCCCCCCCCCCCCCCCCGAGGACAATTACCCCCCGGACAATTACCCCCCTGGAAAATTACCCCTCAAGGATAATTACCTCCCAAAAAAAAATCTGCCTTGATTAAAACCAACTTATTATCAGGATGGACTTCCCCTTTAACGAAAAGGGGGGGGGGGTAATTGTCCTAGGGTGTAATAATTGTCCGGGGGGGGGGGGGTAATTGTCCTCTGGGTGTGATAGTCCTCAGGGGGGGGGGGTAATTGTTCTTGGGGATTAATTTTCCAGGGGGGTAATTATCCTGGAACCGACTCAGAGGCCTAAAGCCATACATCCTGTTAACCCTTTAGGCTTATATGAACTTGTCATTTTATTTCTATTCAAGTACTGCTGACATTTAGAATGGATATGCCTAGAACATAAAAGCATGTGGAAGATGTATGTTGTACCATAGACGTAATTGAATGGACTATCGACGAAGCAGTTTCTTTGATCCTATGAGTTCCACCGGCAAGGTTTAAATTTCGCGCCGATGCAAAAACCCAGCGGTGGTCCCACCGCAACCCGACAGCTGGATGCGATCACTTGCGCAATCTTGCATAATCGCAACAGCAAGCTCGTGATTTGGGGTTGTCCGCTGCTCCTTCAAATCGTTGAGAACCTAGTGTTAAATTGTATGAGCGCTCTCCGCCATGCGGTCGTAGCGAATATGTTTTCGTCTTTGTGCCTGACGATATTATTGTTATTGTTTTCAGCGTTGTATTTATACTAACAATTATTATTTATTTCGATGTGTGTATTGTTCCATAATATATATTTGTCTCGTACTCATGAGTCATGTGTTGTTTATAAAGTAATTAGAAGGGCAGGATTATCATTAGATGACATAAATATGGAAGAACTTTATGATTATGATGGGCAGTCCATATATCGACATAGTCTAGACGACGGAAATGTTGAATATTTTGCAATGGTCAATTCCCAAATTTACGGACACAGATATTTATCCTAATTCCTAGATTCTCAACAAAAAAACGTACACATATAGTAGACCTACATCAAGATAAAATAAGATAAAATCTGAGGGAAGAAAAAATAAAAGCAGTCACTCTCGGATTAACAAGTCCAAAATATAACTTGAAAAAAACATGCACCCGCCGATCTCTATCAATGGGACTACGTGTGCAATTTGGATTAGACAAAGGCACGGCAATTTAGTGGTCATGATGCGAAGAAATCACGCATTACCACAGATTTTCTGAGCACTAACGAAAACAACCCCATTCTTCCAATGCCTATAAAAAAAACGCACGCAAGCGCAAGAAATAACGAATGATTGTATTTGACAAACGAAGGATTTGTGATCACCACAACGTTGTTGGTTTCACAGAGAAATTAACGGAAACAGGAGAAAAAAACACTTTTTAAACTGTATTTTGTAAGCTCGTGTGGTAACTTTCCTTGCTTATATGATGAGTTTGCTACACACCAACACAAATTCGTAAAAAATCGAAGAAATCACCGATTTCAACAGCTTTTTTTACAGATTGGCGAGCATGAACAGGACGTAAACCTCATATTTACATCCGGGGCACTATTGACTGCGCATGGGCAGAAGGCTCTCCTGTCACGATTCATTCATGAAATGAGAAGCGCAAATCGTGGGAAGCATTGGTCAGTGCGAAGCGACTTGGCTGATAGAGGGCGGCAAAATCCCGGTGGATCTCATAGGACCAAAGGACCCTTATCGGAGCTTATCAAAACATGCCCGCAGCGTTGCGGTCAGACTTAAAACATAGAGGAAAGTAAGACATAAGAACAGGTGGTAGCTATCATTACTTTTACTACTCTTGCCGTCGAAAGTCCATTTGTATTACGTCTATGGTTGTACTGTGCATATTGCATGTATTATAATAGGATTTATTGTGAATATCTGTAAGTATGGATACTTTCAATCCTTATTGCTCCTAAACAAAAAATATTATATCTCTGAAACTTTTATATGTTTTAGTGAACATGTCAGAGATTACATTTCATGAAAAATATTGTCAAGGTCACGTGATCCACAAGGTCAATTTCAAGGTCAAATCTTAGGTCAAGAGGTCAAAGTACCCCAACATGTAAAAATTTTTCAAAATGGCGGCAGATTTGGAATCCTTATTGAATACCCTTTCCAACAATACAAATGTTGTGAAGATTGACCCATTAGGTCCCGAAATACAAGGGTTCAAAGGTAGGCCCGCCACCCCCATTTTTGAAAAAATTTCAAAATTTGGTGGGCCATATCTCCCAAACCCCTCACCCGATTGACCTAAAATTTGGGATATGATGCTGTGAGATCACACTCAACAAGTACACTAAGTTTCATCAAAATCAAAAATGGTTGGGTTAAAACCATTGGGTGATTTGACATGGAATGACCCTTAACACAAAGACAGCCAGATGTGCGCAGATATTAACAAGTGACTTGTCCTACATTTGATTTGTTATGACATTAAATATGGGAGTGTCGTAGCCAAGTGGTTTAGGCGCTTGACTGGAGATGCGAAGGTCAAGGGTTTGAATCCCGACATGGCACTAATATCCTTTGGCAGGAGGATATTAACCTGCACTTGCTACTCTCCACCCAGGTGTTATATGGGTACCCGGTAGGATGCTACTGTCATTGTTGGTCAAACAGTTTTTGAGCGTCAAGTAACGCCTGGCTGGAATGCTCCCCAGGGAGTGGAGACTGTGCACACAGTGTGTGCGGGCAAGCACTGAATCCAATGACCGGGGTAATAGTATATCTGTAAAGCGCTTAGAGACATTGTATTACTGGTAAGCGCCATATAAGCAGAATATTGTTAATATTGTAAAAGATAATATCCGTTTCAGAATACCTCGTCAAGGGCCTTCCTATGTGATGCAGTCTACTCTCAACTGGCCCAAAGGATTTGATCTTGCCATGCATATCCCATAGATGTTGCTGTTTGAGGTCATCCAATCAGAACCAAGAGTTATACTCTAAGAACCCCACATGGATCTAGCCAAACTTTGGGGTCACCAAATAGCTGATAATGTTTGTTGGAGCTAAGAAAGATTTAAGCCAGCACAATTATCTGTATCAAAGTATTTTGCTTGTAAACTCATGTAGACTTTTTTACATGTAATATTCACTATTATTGTTATTTGCTTCTTAGAAAACAATCTATATGTAGAAGTCTAAACATAGCTCTTTAGACAATCTTTGGGTTTTTTCCACTGTACTTTGCCCTTTTATTTCATTTATTGTGTTTGATTTGCTGCAGGACTGAGTCTGCAAAAATGGTGCTTTGACCTTCGGAAAGAGAAGCAAGAGATTGTGAAGGATCCCATCGCTTTGTACTTAACATGTCTGCAAGCCAGGTCACAGATCATGCAAGGTAAATTACTTGTAGTCAATTTACTCCCTCAGTGATGTAAACAATGACAAATTTAATCCAACTCACTTAATATCAAATTGTATGAGGTACTGATCAATGCAGGACTCTTGCTGCTTTGCCGGTGCTCCACATGAATTTCCTACACTGACTTCCTACACCTACACTATTGATTTTTGCCATTGATTGTGCATAGTGATCAATGCAATCAGTCATAAAAGTCAATTATATGATCAATTGCTAAGCTTTGTGTTACGGGCCAACACTGCTACTCTTACCCAATCAAACCTAACTTAAAACCAGACAATAACCCTAACCCTATAACTATGATAGTATGAAGCCCAAAGCAAATATCCGAAACAGCTTTGGAGTGTTCCATGATATTTTAGACACTCTACATCATGTTAGTCCCTATTTTTTTATATTTAAAAAATAATAATAATGGTAAAGGATTGTCTGTGACAGCTATTGATCATATTTTCAAACTGACTTTCATTCAACCTACTCCCTTTTTTTATTGTAAAGATGGTAATTTCTGAATTTCACGTTTTGTTTAAACATGTAGTGAAATAGGTTGACCCTCTTTTCTCTATGCATTAATTTACCCAAGTTTTAAACTCAAAGAAGGTTAAACACCTTATGTTAGGCCTTGCATTAGACTATTCTGTGTGACTTATATTCTTTTTATGCCTCCGTTACGAAGTAGCCGGAGGCATTATGTTTTCGGGTTGTCCGTCCGTACGTACGTCCCGTTCTCGTGATCGCGTTATCTCAAGAACCGACTGATGGATTCCTACCAAACTTTGGTCATGTATGTAACTTGCAGAGCCAATGAACTGATTAGATTTTGGGGTCACGAGGTCAAAAGTCAAAGGTCACAGGGCTCATTATGTATGCAAAAATAGCTTGTGATCAGGTTATCACAAGAACAGATGGACAGATTACCATGAAACTCAGGACATGTATGTATCTTGCTGAGGCAATGAACTGATTAGATTTTGGGGGTCATGAGGTCAAGGTCAAAGGTCATGGGGCTCATTATGTATGCTAAAATAGCTTATGATCACATTATCATTAGAACCGATGGATTGGTCAAGACATGTATGTATCTTGCAGAGCCAATGAACTGAGTAAATTTTGGGGTCAAGGGGTTCAAGATCAAAGTGTCATACATGTATATGAGAAATAGCTTGTAATCACGATATTCTGAGAACCTGTTAATGGATTACAATCGAACTTCAATTTGAAAAATTTCTTCTGTTTTGGTTTTTAAAATTGCTCTGATGGAGGCATCATTTTCGATTGCGCGCAGTCGAAGTTCCATCTAGTTTTATAATTCTTTAAAAAATAGCTTGAATCAGTATGAACTGAGTCGTTTACTTAGTGATATCCTGCAACTTTATTTTCATTCATATTTTTATTTTTGCTCATTGTTACTTGTATTTCTGCTTTATGTCCTTGTTGATGTCAAATATACATTTATATATTTTTATTTCATATTTCAGGTATTCTTACTCCAACTCCAGAACAGTTGACGAAACTTGAAGGTAAAGATATACAATAAACAGTCATTACTTTTCATATCTTTTTAAAAGTCAAAAGAAATTTATCACAATGTATCACCCTTTAATTTTGTTATTAAACATGTGGATAGCCTTTGGTACATTGGTACATAAGATTGTCTGAAACTTCACCGGTTACACGGGGGAACACATAGGCGAATGCCTGAACGATTGTATTCAAATTAAATTTGCAAGGTTATTTTTTTTGTCATTCATTATGGTGTGAACTTTCAGTTCTGTAACACAAGCTTTTCAAAAGGGATGCAGATCGTTTATACTGAATATTATATCCTGCATCAAAAAAATTTTGGCTTTTGATTGGTTGAGAGCTCGTCACATGACCAAAAATTTTTGACCTATTTTTAGAAAGTACTATATGAGAGTACTATTTTGGTTTACTATTTGGGAGTTGAAAAAAAAATGGGAATTATTTTTTTTAATTGAATCAATTTTTTTTTTCAAATCTTAATTTAATAAAAACAAAATATTTTAAATCTTTTTAGATCAAAATTGACATTTTTTTTGTTCTAAATTTTTTTTCTCCCAAAAATGTTTTTTTTTTTTTTTTTTTTTTTAAATAATTTTTTGATGCAGGATATAAAACAAATATACCATGCCTTCTATTTGAGGTACTGGTTAAACTATGGGCCTCGGTGACCCCAAAAGTACCATATGGATAATGCTGCAGAAGGTGATGCGACTAAACTGGCGGATATAATCAACACTTTCTTCGTATCTGTTTCATCTGATCTCCCCCCACCCGACCTCCCTGACACGGACACAGATTGTATTCCCCCCGATGAATATATTATACGTGTGAATGATGTCGAGAAACAACTTAGGTCCATTGATACAAAGAAATCCCCTGGACCAGACCAAATTCCTTCTTGGATTCTTAAGGATTTTTCCCACATATTAGCAGGACCTGTTTGTTCAATAATGAATGCATCTTTCACCCAATCATGTGCCACCAATTTGGAAATCGGCCAATGTTATCCCTATTCCTAAAGTGAATCCCCCTACATTAATAGAAAATCACCTAAGACCAATATCCCTGACCCCTGTTTTAGCTAAGCTTTTTGAAGGATTCATTCACAAATGGTTGTGGAAAGAATATCTACCACACGTTGATGAAAGTCAATATGGTAGTGTACCTGGTTCATCCACTACCTTGGCTCTACTTGATCTCTTACACCATTGGTATGATGAAACTGACTCTAAGAAACAGGCAGTAAGAATACTTTTAGTAGATTTCAAAAAGGCATTAGACCGTATTAATCACAATGTGTTAATCAATAAGCTTGTCAGGCTCGGTGTCCATGATAAAATTGTCAGTTGGATAAGATCGTTTTTATGTCAGAGACAACAGAGGGTTAAACTTGGTCAATCCACCTCCGAGTGGAAGTACGTTCAAGGCGGTGTTCCGCAAGGGACCAAACTAGGTCCCCTTTTGTTTACCATCATGCTATCCGATCTAAAGCTTGAATTCCCCATGGTTAAGTATGTTGATGATACCACTGTGTATGATATATGTAAGGTAGAATCCCAGTGTTCCTTACAACGTGCATTAGACGAATTACTTACATGGACAAAGGCCAATGATATGCAGATCAACCAACAGAAAACAAATGAAATGGTAATAAATTTTACTAAAGATGCGATTGTTCATCCACTTACCATTGATGGCAAACCCGTAGACTGTGTCCAAGAAATAAAGTTGCTAGGATTATGGATCAATGATAAATTGAATTGGAATACTCATGTGGAAAAGGTTTATGCAAGGGCTGTAAGTCGTTTGTTTCTCTTGGTCCAATTACGTAGAGCCGGTCTTCTTCAAGACGATTTGTGCAGGTACTACAAAGCTTGCATAAGGTCCGTTTTGGAATATGCATGTCAAGTCTTTCACGGGGGCCTAACCAAAGAGCAATCTAATTTATTGGAATCAATACAAAAACGTGCCCTGAGAATAATCACCCCCAACCTGTCTTATACTGATGCTTTAAATGTACTGAACATTGATCCCCTAGCTGATCGTAGAAATAATATGTGCTTGCAATTATTCAACCAAATACAGAAACCTGAACACAAACTAAATGACCTTCTCCCACCAAAACGAGAGACAAGATATAACCTTAGGAAAAGTAAACAAGTGAGTCTGCCCAGGTGTAAAACAAACCGATTTAAGAATAGTTTTATCCCTTGGTGTGCGTATAATTTACAATAAGCAGGTAATTAGTGCAATATACATTTCTTTCTTTTTTCAGTTTATACCCATACGTTGACTTTTTTTATAATTATATTATATATTTTTATATTTGGATGTATAGTTTACTTGATTGATCATTGCAGTTTTTTCACTTCTTCACTTTCTTTCTTTTTCCCTCTCTTGCTCCCTGTTCTTGTCTATTCAAGTTTATGTTGTTTCCCCCTTTTTCTTGTAATGATTTATTTGTAATATGATATACCTGAATGATTTGTAATGTTTTTTGTATTAATGATCTACATGTATTTCTATTCATAATTTATCAATTTCATTGTACTGAATTTAATAATGTTCATAATTATGTTGAAACTGTATGTATTATTATCAATCCAACCCTTGGTTGCTATGAATGAATAAAATAAATTGAATTTGCTTCGGGGCTGCGCTCCTCAGCAAGTACTATTGGAGTCACCTCTTGCCCATAGTTTTAAAGGGAAAGTCCACCCCCAAAATAAGTTTGTTTCGATAGAGGCAGAATAATAAGAAAATCAGGTGAGTGAAAGTTTGAGCAAATTCTGAATGAAAATAAGAAAGTTATGAAGTATTGAAGTTGTGATCAATCAAATACAATTGGCAACTCTGTGACTTATTATACGAGCTCTCCTTCATTTGCTTTGTGCATAATATTCCATAAAATCATGTTTTCTTCGTTATTGATGACGGAATATATATTTGTTCCTTGCAGGGGGAGTATAGAAACATATTTGCAATTATTATATTTAGGGTGCATGTATGGTTGAAATTTTTCTTGAGGGAAAATGAAAATTTTAGATTTTTTTAGTACTGAGCAAATGGAAGTTGAGCTCGCATGATACGTCATAGAGTTGCCAATTTGTGTTTGATTGATCACAACTTCAAAAATCCTAACTTCCTTATTTTTAATCGGAATTTGCTCAAACTTTCACTGACTTGTTTCTCTCATTTTTCTACTCCTATTAAAACTAACTTAATTTCAGGGTGGACTTCCCCTTTAACCAGAACCTCTCAAGGCAGTGTATATTTGTATACTATTCAGGTAGAATAATGTATTTCACTATGTGATATCGAAAACAAAATATATTTATTTACAACTGGTATCCTTTTGATACTTATACTTTGGTATCAGTTATCCATTCTGTGCATTTATGAGTGTAATGGTTAGTCAATGGCAGAAGGTGCATATAATTCAAGGATAGTTTGATTACCTTGGAATGACCTTTATAGCATGCTGTGAATAACTTTTTTTTTGTCTAATATCCACATTAAAGTTACTCGGTAACAATGTTGAAGGTTGATGTTAAAACTGCGTAATTTTTGTATGAAATGATAGTTATTATATTCCTTCTACTGTACTAACCCTCTGACATGCAAACAATTCTCAAACCACCAAGATATTTATGGTTTTCTTTGAAGGTGTCACTGTGCGACACCCTCCAACAGTAAATTCTCCCAACCATATTTGAGTTGTTCAAATTGTTTTTCCATGAAAAAAATACTTAAGACAGGCTTTAAAAATTGTTTCAATACTTAAATGTCTGGAATGGTATATAGAGCAAATTCATTGCTTTGTGACGATTGACATTGACCTAAAATGTAATTAAATTGTAATAATATAGTCAGGAAAATTAGGGAATTGATCAGTTTTTCCAAATTTGTATCATTTATAACATTTGATCTGTTTTCACTCAAACTTTCAGATTATCTTTAATTGTACCTCTAGCATTGAAGTCACCTACTACCTAAGCACCATTTTCTCTCATCTGAACAATGTAACCAAGTCCCTTTAAGGAGACACAGGTGTTTATTCTGTCACAATTTCCCTTTTTTCCATCCCTTATTGCTAGATCACAACGAGCCAGCCTTCTTAGATTCCATGTCATATCTCTCTGTGTGTCACTGTATGGAGGATTATATGACTGCCTACATCAAGCACTGTGAACTCAGAAGAGAGCTCTCCATTGGGTCTCTACAGGTACGCCAATTCTGCATTACTATAAAAATGTACAAGTGGTTCGGATCCGTGAAAGCTTCATGCTACGCAATAATTGAATTACAATCAACACATCTTTGAAAGTTCCTTGTCGTTAAAGTGGCTGTCGTTAATGGGTTTTCAATATTCATACATTTACATTTTTTTACAATTTGGTTATACACCATAATGACCATATGTTCCTTTTACAAACCAATGTCCTTACTTTAAATCTGAATCCAACCCTAAACCTAAACCTTATGTAAAAGTTAATCGCAATTTTAAGATCTCGTTCAGTTTTTTACAATAATTTGAAGTAAAACACGCTTCATATTTTGTACTAAAAAAAAAGAACTCAGGATATTTGTTGTCCATAGTTGCCATTCATTTACACATTTAAAAAATGTTTGTTGGGTTGTTTTTTTTGCAGCGATTTAGTGCATCTTAATTGAACTACCCTTAACCCTAGACTGACATCTTTGACAGAATAAAGTAATTGTTGCCGGAGCAAATGTCTGATAACCCCCACATTGGAATCCTGAAATGACCCTATAACCACACATACACCACCCCCTAGACCATTTATATTCAAAATACAGCAGCATTTCAGTACTAAACTTTGTATGTAACATTGCTACTCCTATAATGTTCTGGTCACAATTTTTTTAGAGCGTAGAATTCTGAAAACATGTTTTATTTTTTTAGCTAAATGCTAGTATTTAGCCTTTTCTTTTATCTTTAAGTGAATGACAGTAAGCACCTTCTTATGTATTCTTGACTTCACAGTTAACAGCGGGAACCACGTTTTCTATGCGTGCCAACAAGCGAGGGCTGAGGCTTCGGGTTGAACAGAAAGAGTACTTTGTTTCATGGAGAAAGATTAAGAGGTAAGGAGCCAGAAGGGCATTAGCTCATATGACTTCACACAGAGTTAACACCCTTTTCTTGCTCCAAGTGAAAGGAAGTGGATTCCTACTGATGTAAAACCCTAATGGCCCAACTTCAGAAAGGAGGTTTAAATTGAACTCACAGTTTATGTAGAACCGTGTGTTAAATTTAAACCTCCTTTGTGAATTCGGGCCTTTGGATTTTACTTTGGTATTTCATTAAGGAGGGGGGGGGGGGCGGGGTGAATGGGATATTTTTTTTGTGTGTAGCATCTTTAGGTTTTGGTTTCAGTTTCTCCAAGCTTGAATGTTTGTAGTTACTTGCGGAAGATTAAACAATAAAGAGACCTTTTTTAGGTTTATTTCATTTAACATAAGATAGTAAATAACGTTGAATATAAGAGGGAAAAATTTACATTTTATGAGGTAGAGAAAGAGAGAGATAAGTATATTTATAGCACTTTGAACAATATTTTTACAGATAAATGAAATTCCATGCTCGTTGCTACTTCTGTTATTTCAAGCAATAGAGTGCACAACATTTCTATGAACCAGTGAGAAAAGTTTACCAAATTAGTAATGATGATGATATTACTGCTACTACTACTCCTCCTACTCCTCCTGCTTCTACCACTTCTACTACTACTTCTACTAATACTAATACTACTTCTACTACAATTAATACTACTACCACTTTTGCTACTACTAACAATAATAATAATAAGTATTATAGTAATAACACTGAAAATAATAGTAATTGTAGTGATAGTAATACTGATAATAATGTATCATGAAAATTACTTAAAAATGCTACTATTCCATTTCTGTATAGTGCATATCCTATTATGATAAAAGGTGTCTATGGTTTTCCAGAGGAATTTGGAAAATCCATTGTTATCGTTTGAAAAATAAATGGAATTCAGGGCAGTTAAAGTCAATGAATTTCCAGCGCAATAAAAGTTTGTTCACCTCCCCCAATGTTGTGTCATCCAAACAGATGGACAAGAGCTGAGGATGACCTTTATGTGACCTATGAACTTTACTCCTGCTCCCACGATACAGTCAACATCCTATCCATAGAGACACCCCAAGCACCTTACCTAGTTTCTGTCACCATAGAGATGATCAAAACATTGCAGGTTTGTAACAAAATGGCTTCTTTTTACCTTTAGCAATTAATTTAAAAATCACTGGCTATCACCATAACCATAGAAATGATTGAAACAGTCAAGAAACATTGACTTAGAGCTAAAGTGATATCAGTCTTGAGAGGGCGCTTTACAACATAAAGAGTTTATTATTTACAATTTCATTACTTTAGACTCGATTTCAACCGCGACAACGATCATTGAATACTATAAAAAATCGCACAGGCTTCTAATATGTTCATTTGAACTAAATTCATGACCCCTTACCAAAACTCTGTAATACCTTTAAGTTTGTTCAAGTTTAACAAAGGGAGTTAGTCCAAGGTCTGGTCAATTCCAGTTTTTCCTTTGTTTAACCCATCATGAATTTAGGTCATGAATTTAGTTTAAATGAACATATTGGAAGCATATATGCAATCCTACAATATTCACTGATCGTTGTCATGGTTGAAAGGGAGTCTAAAGTGATGAAATTGTAAAATAATAAACTCTTTATGATGTATTGTATAGCTCCCTCTCAAGACTGATATTACTTTAGGAAATTAAGGTTGGAAATTATATATCAGAACTGCATATTCTGAGATTTTCATGGTCCAAGCTACCATGGAATGGCCTTATGCGCTATTTTGAATGATCATGTGTTCATCTTTTATTGGTGAGTGATTACCCAAAATTTGTAGCACCTCGATTATTCTTCAAATGTTTTACACTCTTGTCATCCGCCTTCCTTTATCAGGGAGAAATGAATGGCGTAATTTTCCAGACATCTGACCTGAAGATGGGGCCGAATGGAGACGTGTTGGAGTGGAACAACATAACCTTTGACCCCTTACAATTCAAGGCAGAGACTGAGGCAGCAAACAAGTACATTGACCTTTCTACTTTGACGTGAGGGTAATCAACTTTCATTCCTAAGCATGTAAAGTTCACGATTGAGGCAGGAAGTAGATTGACCTTTTTCAACTTTGACATGATGTTGTACATGTACCTCCTTCAACCCCAATGTAAGGTGGAGACCGAGCCATAAAAAAGTTCTTTGCCCTTTCAACTTTGACATGAATGTTATGAAGCCATGTTCTATCTACTGTCTCTGTCAAATGTGCTGTGGTGTCCTGAACTCCTAAAACAGACCAAGGTCCTGTCTTATAAAGAGTTGCAATGGATCCAGATTGATCACAATTCCTCCAATCAATCACAATCTTCTGTCTGTTGCAGGCATAGTTGTGATTGACATCAATTTGCGATAAATTTGAATCAATCTTATAAATATTTATATGATTAGCCCCTTAGGTCATAGGTAAAGCGTTGTAACTTGTTTGTTTTACATGAGGTCACCCATTTTTCAAGATACATTTATATTTGCAGGCTTCTAATTCTTAGCTGAGGTCATGATTATTTTACTTTGATGACAAGATAACAGAACTTATATTTATAGTAACATGAATATGATATAATGCAAGAGAAATACAGTTTGATTAACTAAAACTCTAGAAAAGGGTTATGACCATCGTAAACTATTTCTAAAGTTTTAGCATATTCATCCTAGCATAAAAGTACACCACACTGCCTTACTTTTATCAGTTTATGCTATACTCCACTTTTATATGCAAATAATGGGGGAAATGTTTTTCACATAGTTACTGAATGCTCTGTTTGGCTTCACAAATGTAATTCAACAATCAAGACACAAATGTATTCTTCAAGAACTTTTTAAAATAGTACATACCGGTACATATAAATCAAGATTTTTTTTATTTTATCATCAAAGGTGACTAAAGCAAAAGATTTATGACAATTTTGAAATATAGTTTTGCTGCATAATGAAGTATATTACATTGTGTGTAGCTGTTAAGGATTGAAATAAGAGGTTTGCTATATGTATATAATGTATAAAGTATTTTTGAGATATATATATTTATTTGTCTTTATATATGCTGTATTACTGTTGAAAAAGTACTTATCCACTGAAGCATGCCATATTTATATTTACTTCATATCCATATATAGTCTTTCATATCGGCCTTTTAAATTATCCATCCATTTTTAACAAATTTGGACGTAGAGAGAAAGCAAAAACACGTCCTGTAACTTGGAATGTTCTTTTGCAGTGAATTTTTAAAGCATTCCAAACACAGAGTGTTTATCTAATTACCGGTATAGGAATTTCTTCATTGCATACTGGAATACTGTTCAAAATTTTGCAATTGAAAGAGGTCTGTTTGTGTGTGTTTTGCTGGCATAGAACTATTTTGGAATATCTTAGAGATTTTCTAGAATTGATAGATGTTGTATTGGATGGTAATTTTGAGAAGTGATTTGATTTGTATGCCTATGCTAAATCTGAAAGAGAGTAACAAATTTATGCCCTAATTTTGTGAGTTTTCTGTTTACTTAGTGCACAAGGAAAATTAATAAGTGATAATTCTTCACAATTTTATTTTTTTTAATTTCAATCATCATAGCTTTTACTTGCATGAAAGATAACATAGTTTTCAGAACAGTATATGTGTTTTTGTAAGCCCAGATTAAATCATGCACTCCCTGTGCCCTGTTTTATGGGGAAAGTTAGTGAATCAAAAACCAGAAGCGGCATGCTACAAAGTCCCCTAAGCTCACTTGCTAATTTTCGTCTTCAGATAGTAGAAATTTAACACTGAAGCACAGTGCTTATGTTTGTGTTCATATCTAATGATACTCTTCTGAGTTTTCATAACCTCCTTTGTTACAGCTCGATGAATGGCCAGCTCAACCAAGGATATAAATATTTAGACAAGGAAGGATTTTGGGTAACCTGACACATGCTCCGCCGACGATTGCTCCGCCGACATTTACTCCGCAAAACGCGACAATTGCTCCGCGACATTTGCTCCGCCGACAATTGCTCCGCCGACATTTGCTCCGCCGACATATGCTCCGCCGACATTTGCTCCGCCGACATTTGCTCCGCCGACAATTGCTCCGCCGACATTTGCTCCGCCGACAATTGCTCCGCCGACAATTGCTCCGGTGACAAATGCTCCTCGAACGACGGTTACTCCGCCGACATTTGCTCCGCCGACAATTCCTCCGCCGACAATTGTTCCGCAAAACGCGATAATTGCTCCGGTAACATTTGCTCCGCCTGAAGCGACACTTGCTCCGGTGACAATGTTCATGATAATAATAATAACTAGATTTGTAATACTTGTTTTGAACAAGTATAGGTGGGCTGGTCTAACTAAAATTTGAGACAAAATAAAGGGCAAATTTAAGATAGCTTATTGTCTCAGCTACAACATACTCGAAGTTCAGCGTAAACGAAGCTAAAACGACGGAGATATTGCTCGCGAAAGACGGGAATGTAGAATCCAGTTTTGAAAAAAGTCATTTCCCATAGAGAATACACGCAAAAAGTGAAAAATTGATATTCCTCCTTTAATCGCAAAAATACGCCATGATGCTTTTGTCAAAATGAAAAATTGTGCATTCGTAGAAGATTGTCCCAGCTAGAACATATCAAAATTTGGAAGAAAATCGATCAATATTTACAGAGATACAATCAATTTTCAAAAAATATGTTGACGTCATAATATGCAAATTGGAATTTTGAGTTCGGAGGCCATTATGATGACGTCATGAGTTAATTGAGGGTCAAATGAGACCAGAAATCATATTTCCAATTCATACTCTACAAAATATGAAACAAAATTGGGGGTCACCTTACATCCTAAAGAGCTACAATGGATTTTGTATAGGCATGTTTTTGCCCATATATGCTATGTATTACAAGAGCTCGCACGCACGGACGTGTATCTTAAACGGACGCTCACTCCGTTATTAATGGTCATAAATATGTTAACAAGGTATCAAAATGCTTGGGGAAATGTGCCAAATATGATGACAAAGAAAATTGGCGATTCTTTGTTGCAAAATGCCAGAACGCGCAAAAACACGCGCGTGTGCGAGATTTTTTATAAAATGCTTAAAATGGCCTAAAACGTATGTAAAATTATTTTGAGACTATTTTGAGCATTTTAATATTTTGCGCGCGCACTGACGCGCGGACGTTCGCGAACGCGCGCGTTTCTTTTTTACCTGAAATTGACCGGACGAATATTGACCTTAATCATGATAAATATGAATCAAAAATGGCTTTTGGTTATGAAGATATGATCATGAGTTGATTTTCAGAAAAATTTACAAAATGGCGCCTAGATGACGTTATCAGTGAAGGTCATAGTTGAAAACGTTATTGTGTTTTGTACATATGCCTATACATATATGTGTGCCAAATTTGAAGGCATTTGATTGAGTCATTTTCAAGTAATCGTGCTTACAAAAAAGTGGTTTGAAATAAGTAAAATAAATAATAAAGGCAATTCTAACGAAATTATAAGGTGGTCTGTATTAGATACAACCCACCTAATAATAAAGGCAATTTTAACAAAATTATAAGGTGGTCTGTATTAGATACAGCCAACCTGATAAATAGATAAAGGCAATTCTAACGAAATTATAAGGTGGTCTGTACGATATACAGCCCACCTGATAAATAAATAAAGGTAATTCTAACGAAATTATAAGATGGTCTGTACGATAATCAACCCACCTGATGAATAAATAAATAATAAAGGCAATTCTAACGAAATTATAAGGTGGTCTGTACGATATACAGCCCACCTAACAATAAAGAATAATAAAGGCGATTTTAACAAAATTATAAGGTGGTCTGTATAAGATACAGCCCACCTGATAATAAAGGCAAATCTAACAAAATTATAAGGTGGTCTGTACGATATACAGCCCACCTGATAATAAATAAATAAATAAACAAAGGCAATTCTAACGAAATTATAAGGTGGTCTGTACGATAGACAGCCCACCTGATCATTACAAAAATAACATTAGTAACACCACCAACCATAATAATCATTGTTGTCATTATTATTGTGATACTGCTTCTAATACTACTCCTACTACATGTACTACGAAGAAGGAGGGGAAGAGGAAGAATCTTATTGTTTATTTTCTGTATTATCGAGACATACAAATGCACAGGGAGGTAAAAGAGGGAAAAGTAAGGCGACGAAGAGGGAGAGAGAGGGAGAGAGAACGAGAGGGGATAGCCTATGGCCCGGGTTCAAATTCAGTTCTCTTTAATTTATTTGACCCAGTTGGCATTGGCATGCAGCCAGAAAGATTTTCATCATGTGTTTGATTTTGTATTGAAAAAAAGATCAAACACATCATCATAATCTACAGAGTGCAACCAAAAATTTCTTAACAACAATTGAAATTTCTTTCAGGAAGCCTAACACTAAAAGCTGTTTTTGATTCAAAGAGCATCGTAGAGACGATGAACAAATAATAATAATAATAATACATTCACTTCTATTTTCCCCGCCAAATAATCCGAACAAAAGAATCAACCGAGGGAAATCAACTGTTAAACGAATTTATCATGAGTCCTTGAAAAATTAATTAACACTGCTTGTCAAATATTATTGAAGAACAGCAAAGGCGAACGCGATAGTCGCTACAATTCAGAAATCATTGCTTGCATTGCTTTTCTCTCAAAATTACCGTGAGATATCAAGCTACATAGAACTATGATCGACACAAAAGATATTATCTTGAAAAAAGTCAGAAACATTAGAACTTGAATGAATAAAACATAATGCAAATGAATAAGACTAGAATGAATAGGACACAAGTTAATTTCTACCATTTAAATCATCCAGTACCAAATACCTGAGCAAAATTCGAACCAGATGCATTTAATGGTAAACTTAAATACAATGATTCAAAAATAACATTAGTAACACCACCAACCATAATAATCATTGTTGTCATTATTATTGTGATACTGCTTCTAGTACTACTCCTACCACATGTACTAGGAAGAAGGAGGCGAAGAGGAAGAATCTTATTGTTTATTTTTTGTATTATCGAGGCATACAAATGCACAGGGAGGTAAGAGAGGGAAAAGTAAGGCGACGTAGAGGGAGAGAGAGGGAGAGAGAACGAGAGGGGGTAGCCTATGGCCCGGGTTCAAATTCAGTTCTCTTTAATTTATTTGACCCAGTACTGATGATCATAATTTTATCTACCATGTGATTGCCATGTGTACGCCACACCGAATAGCACTAGCTCAAAAGATTTTACACACTAATATATATATATATATATATATATATATAGTAAAGCTACATAGTTACACTTAACTGAAGGAAAGAAACCTATAGAAAATGGACTGGATATTATTGAAAATACTATTCTAAACAAGAATGTACTACATGTACTACATTACGTTACAATTTCACGAAAGAAATAGAACTCGAGAGGGGAAGAAAAGAAGAAGTGATGAAAATGAAAGAAGACTAATAGCATGAGAGGAAAGAAAAGAGCTAAGAAGACAAGAAAAGGGTGTAAAAAGGAAAAGGAAGAGAGAGAGAGAGAGATAGCCTTGAGCTTTTGATCGGCTAATGAGTAATAAATGAAACAGATTTTGAGCGGAGTAATTATCTTTCGCCGGAGAACTTGCATAAGGAGCTAAAACTTGATGTTTTTTAAATCAAACATCATGGGGAATAGCAAAAAACGGCTGAGCATTTATTGCACTAATTGCCAGAGGAGCATTCATGTCTTCCACGAGGCCGCACTTTCGGATCAGAGAGCAATTTAATTGTCGGTGAAGCATTGTCTTTTGCGGGGTACTTTTGGGGAGGAGCAACAATTATTGTCGTAGTAGCCTTTTTATGTTACGGGGCACTTTTTAAGCGGAGCATGTGTCATGGAACCGGATTTTGTCCTAATTACCAGGCTAAAAGCTGGCCCTTGTTGCCCATAAAGGAACCAAAATAGTTCACCCTGCTTTTATTATTGAACGTGACATCTGTGAAATACACTCTTGGGTCAGTCACATATCATATTGACCCCCAGAACAGGTCAAAAGGGTAATTTTTGCTGTTTACAACTAAAAATTAGGCAAATCAGTAGGGTATGTTTAATAAATACTTTATTTAGAGGTTTACTTGAGGTAGACCCTGACCTTGTTCGAGGGGACAAACTTGTTTAGGAGGATAATATATTATGTTGGATGTAGCAACCATGCAGTCATCTGGTTGACCACCTTGCAACGAATGAATAACAAAATATTCCAAAGAAGGAAATAATTCATTTGCTCACCCTTCTCTACGCTAAGAGAGTCCAGGGTCTTGTAACGACTGTTCGCAAGCTCATGTTTTTGTCACTCTATCATAATGGCTTCTTAAATAGGAAATGATAACTGAAAGAATCCAGGACCCTATAAATGCAGAGACCCAATTTTGTGGACCTCTTCCATGAAGGCAAAACGTTAAATGATCATAACTGTATGTAGTCTTTTTGTCCCGTAGAGCGGATGAAGAACTGTTTCTAGTTTATAAGCATTCTAATCATTTTATTTTGTTACTGTTCAATTCAAGTTTTTACACATTCTAATCATTTTATTTTCTTAAAGTTGAATTCAAGTTTATACACATTTTAATAATTTTATTTTCTTGCTGTTGAATTATTGTATTGGAGGTGCATGTTTGAACCATCTGAAACTATGTGTAGTAGAAAGAAGGATGTAAATGAGAGAGAAGAGGAGACTGACAGACAGCAAAAGAGAATACAATGAATCCAAAAAATATACCAGTACAATGTAAATTATTACTCTTTTAAAATGCACCTATAAATTTTTGTTGAGTGTGTAGTACATTGTCACTGTACACCGG